AGCAGGTGTGAGAAAGAAACTCAGGATAACCCGGTCTTGAATTTGTTTATTATAAAATGAGACAGAAAGAAGCTTGGGCAGAATTTCCAGATTCTCATTTTATGCCCTACTGTATTATTACTGTATTATTATTCCTGGAATCCCTATGGCACCTGGCCTGGTCTGGTCTGGTTTACTACCGGTTCTGTGGGCATGGCTTGGTGGGCGTGGCAGAGGAAGGATACTGCAAAATCTCCATTCCTCCCCACTCCTGAGGGAAGGATATTGCAAAATCTCCATTCCCTCCCCACTCCTGGGGGAAGGATATTGCAAAATCCCCATTCCCTCCCCACTCCTGGGGAAAGGATATTGCAAAATCCCCATTCCTTCCCCACTCCTGGGGAAAGGATATTGCAAAATCCCCATTCTCTCCCCACTCCTGGGGGAAGGATATTGCAAAATCCCCATTCCATCCCCACCCCTGGGGGAAGGATATTGCAAAATCTCCATTCCCATCCCACTCTGGGGCCAGCCAGAGGTGGTATTTGCCGGTTATCCAAACTACTCAAAATTTCTTTTACTGGTTCTCCCAACTGCTCAAAATTTCCGCTACCGGTTCTCCTGTCAGAACCTGGATGGTTCTGCTGAGAGGTGCTTGAACTTTGCATATTCTCTCTGGTCATCTGGGAAGACCAAATGCCAAAAGGAGAAATTACTTTGCGTAAGGTGAAATTATTCAGGGATGTGGTAGCTCAGTGGCTAAGATGCTGAGCTTGTCAATCGAAAGGTTGGCAGTTTAACGGTTTGAATCCCTAGTGCTGCGTAACAGGGTGAGCTCCTGTTACTTGTCCCAGCTTCTGCCAACCTAGCAGTTCGAAAGCACTTAAAAAATGCAAGTAGAAAAATAGAGACCACCTTTGGTGGGAAGGTAATAGCGTTCCGTGTGCCTTTGGTGTTTAATCATGCCGACCACATGATCATGGAGACGTCTTTGGACAGCGCTGGCTCTTCGGCTTTGAAACGGAGATGAGCACTGCCCCCTAGAGTCGGGAACGACTAGCACATATATGCGAGGGGAACCTTTACCTTCACCATAGTGTTTTACAGCATTCTCTGGGCAGTTATGAGGACCCAGACCCAATCTAGGTCCTCATTTTACCTCAGAAAGATGGAAGGCTGAGTCAACCTTGAGCCGGTCAGGATCAAACTCCAGGATGTGTTTGCCTGCAATTCTGTATTCTAACATTGCACCACAAGGAGATTTAACTGGGTTCCTTGGTAGCTGAGCAGGGTAAACATGGTGTGGAAACTGGACCACAGGAAGAAGAAAAGGAGAAGTGTGGGGAAGAGTTCATTGAGACTGGCAGGAGCCCCGATTCTCTCAAAATAACACCTCAAGGGTCATGATGTCACCAGGGCAATGTTGTAATTTTGTTTTTGTCAACCTAGATTTCAAGTTCAGCCTGTTCATATCGTCGGAGGAAAAATGGAGTCAACAAGCAACCTCTCACCCTCATTTAAAAAAAAAAAAAAAAAGGAACGTAAATTGACAGGGGAAATATTTCACATCACCAAGAAAAGAGGAACTTAGAAACACCCATCTAAAAGGGGGACAATTCGTCCAAAAGGACGAATTGAAGAGAAACAGCCGCCCCAAAAAATAATAATTTGGTGAACAGGTGGAACTTAAATCAGCTCACACCTCCAACAGGGAGTTTTGACACTTTCATTTTGTTTTGATTTAGCATCCATTTTCTTGTGAACTATTTGGTCACTAATATATAGAAGCCGGGTCAATAATTTGCAAATAGATTTAGTCATTTAAATTTTTTTTAGGGAGGGCCTGTTTTGCATTGGGTGGGAACGAATGTCACAATAATGCATTAATCAGTATATTCAACCAGGGAGGATAAATGTGTATAAATGTTGTCCTTTTTTCAATGCACCTTTTTCTGTTTTTTAAATGCTTCGATATTTTTTGTGGTTTTTGTGGGGTTTGTCTCTTTTTATTTTGGATTTTCGGGGAGTTTTTGGGGTGGGTTTTTTTGTTTTTTGTTTTTTGTTTTGCATTTTAACTTTGTCTTGGATAAAATAAAAAATACATGCAAAAAAGAATCTTACACCTCTCCAGCACAGTGCCATAGTTTTTAGTTCCTAGATTAGATACGGCGGTGATGGCTAACTGTTTTGCCGTCGCGTGCCAAAAGTGGGGGGGGAGGTCGCCCACGTGTGTACCCCACACCCATAATTCAATGCACCCTGCCTCTGCACGCCCCCCCCACCCGCTTTTAGCATGTGATGGCACAGTGGGCCCAGTAGACCCATTTTTCAAACTCCCCACACTCCAGAGGCTTTCTAGGAAACTGGGGAGGGCAAAAACAGCCTTCCCCACTCCTCTGGAGGCCGGAAACAGCCCATTTCCCAACTTCCAGTGGGACCAAAAGGCTCAAAAATCAGCTGTCCAGTGCAGACATGCGCAGTGGAGTTGAGCTACGGCAATCGCGAGCCCACTGATATAGCTCCGTGTGCCACCTGTGGCACCCGTGCCAGAGGTTCGCCATCACGGAGATAGGGTCTCCTCCTTAGTGGGTTGGACTAGAAGACCTCCAAGGTCCCTTCCAACTCTGTTATTCTGTTTCCTGGAGCTCTCAAATCTTCCAGACATGGCCCTCACCCTCGATGCTAGTTAGCTCAGCAAAGACATTCTACGCGCCTTCCTAACTTCGGACATACAGTCTCTTTGGCCCTCGCAGCTCCCAAGGGCATTTGAGCATGCTAAACATTCTGGGAAGATCACATTTCCTCCTGCTAAAAAGGGCAGAAGCTCAACCTTCCATTCTGATCAACATTCCTCCATGGAGAACATTGGCTTCCAAATTGGACCTGCCTCTTGGCTTCTAGCACGCTCAGAGCAAATAAAAAAAAAAAAATCAAGGACAAATAGCCAGAACCACACTTAGCAAAATGAGCATGGCGAGTGAGAGGGGGCGAGGAAGACACAACAGCTAATCTGGAAACTAATTTTTAAAGCATAGTCCGATACTTTGTATGACTGAATTTCTCAACTTTGGCAACTTTAAGATGACGAGAGTTCCAATGGAAGGGAGCATTTGTAGCTCAGGTTTGAACGGTGGGGTCCTTGGTGCTCTCTCTCAGCTTGTTTTCTTGAAGACGTTTTATTACCAAACTAGGTAACATCATCAGGGCTAGTAGGGAGTGGAGGGGAGGGGGTTGCTCTCATTTTATATTATATAATGGCATTTTATATTTTAATTGTGGCATTTTATACATTAAAGATAAAAGGTTCCCCTCGCACATATGTGCTAGTCGTTCCTGACTCTAGGGGGCGATGCTCATCTCCGTTTCAAAGCCGAAGAGCCAGCACTGTCTGAAGATGTCTCCGTGGTCATGTGGCCGGCATGACTAAATGCCAAAGGCGCACGGAACGCTGTTACCTTCCCACCAAAGGTGGTCCCTATTGTTCTACTTGCATTTTTTTTACGTGCTTTTGAACTGCTAGGTTGGCAGAAGCTGGGACAAGTCACGGGAGCTCACCCCGTTACGCGGCACTAGGGATTCGAACCGCTGAACTGCCAACCTTTCGATTGACAAGCTCAGCATCTTAGCCACTGAGCCACCGCGTCCCTTTTATACATTGATATACATCAAATGAGAGGAAACCTCACTCCCTATGAGAATATTAATTCATTAGGAATAAAACACTGGAAGAAAACAATCTGCCTCAGAGAGCACCAAGGATCCTAACTGTCTGAAGTTCCACTCAACTCCCATGACTGCCTGGGGAATTCTGGGCGTTGAAAGCCACGTATCTTGGTTTTGAGAAGGTTGAGATTTAGGAACTCACACTGCAGGATGACTTCAGTCCTCCTCACGTTCAAATCAACATTTTCCAAAATGAGCTGCCATTTTCACCCCACCCATTGCTCGTCTTAAGAAGCACAAAGCAGAACATTGTAGACCATTCAATTTTGGCCCGTCCTGGTTGGTATGAAGATGGGGTCCTTGGTTTAAGCATCCAGCTAGCCACTTATGAGAGACCGAACCCCGGTTTCAATATTCGGAGCCCTGTGTGACTCTGACCCATGATGGTTTATCCCACAAACCATGTTTAAATGAACGACGGCTGAGTGCAATAATGCAAGAGCCCCCACCTTGCAATCATGTCTGGCAGCTGCAATGCCTAAACATCTGGGCCAACCCATAAAAGTTCCTTTTGACAGCCACAAACCCTCCTTAGCAAAAGACAACCTAACAACCAACCATCATTTCCCTAATTTCTCTCAAGCTGCAAGCTTTCCAAGATACCTGGAGACAACTTGAAGCCAAATGTGGATTCTGGGCATGGTAGTCCCTGCCCATCTGGGGTAAGACAGACTTCCTTAAACCCCACTTATGGATTCTGGGCATGGTAGTCCCTGCACAGCTGGAGGACGACAAACCACCTTGAACCCCACTTGTGGATTCTGGGCATGGTAGTCCCTGCACAGCTGGGGGAAGACAGTCCGAATTGAGCTTGGTTTGTGGATTCTGGGCATGGTAGTCCCTGCACAGCTGGGGGAAGACAGACTTCCTTGAACCCCGTTTGTGGATTCTGGGCATGATAGTCCCCTGCACAGCTGGGGGAAGACAGGCCTAATTGAACTTGGTTTGTGGATTCTGGGCATGGTAGTCCCTGCACAGCTGGGGGGAAGACAGACTTCCTTGAACCCCACTTGTGGATTCTGGGCATGGTAGTCCCTGTACAGCTGGGGGAAGACAGACTTCCTTGAACCCCACTTGTGGATTCTGGGCATGGTAGTCCCTGCACACTGCTGGGGAAGACAGATCTTCCTTGAACCCGTTTGTGGATTCTGGGCATGGTAGTTCTTGCACAGCTGGGGTAAGGCAGACCTCCTTGAATCCCTCTTGAGGTTCTGCTGCTGGAGCCAAGTTGAGGAGCCAAGTTTTGGGATGGGGAGGGGAGGGGAGGGAAAGGAAAGGAAGAGCTGTCCCTAACTCACCTGATGAGGGGTCCCAGGAGCACCAGGTGCATGAAAAGGATGAAGGGCTTGTCGCTGGTCAAGTCCCGGTTGACGAAGATGAGGGTCAGCTGGACCATGACGGAGGAGATGAGCATCAAGAGCAGAGTCAGGACCATCCAGAACTGATCGTTGGAGCGGCTGTAGGAGACGGTCATCACGCAGGCCGAGGCCAGCTCCCCGCAATACAGGAGGGTGGTGAAGATGATGCCCAGCGGCGGGTTGGTCCTAGTCACCGCCTGGGAGGCCACCCTGCGCAAAAGCTTGCGGGGACGGTTCAGGGTCCTTCCACCAAAGACGTGGTCGGAGCATTCTTCCACCGAAGAGTCCGCCAACGCCATCCTCCCACGGCCCATTCCTCCGGCAGATGCTCCAGCCCCCAAATCCCCCCACCCAAAACAACGACAACCACAACCCTGCAAAGGAGCCTCTGGCTGGAACTGGGACACCCCCCCTCCTCCTCTTCTAGACCCAATGTCTCTTCTGTCTTGCCAATGCAACTGTAGCTCTCCTTCCCCCCCCCCCCGCCCTTCAGCCACTTTTCAAAGGGGAATCCAGACAGCTGATTGGGAAACCGCCGACCTGCCCAACGAAGCGCCCTAACAAACCGGAGGCGCCGGCAAGCAGGAGCTTTCCAAATGCGCCCATTTCACAGAAGGACGAAGGGGAAGACTGAGTCCGCGGTTAAATCCCGAGCGCTGGGCGCGCCCGGCAGGCTGCAAAAGCCAGACGAGCCCAGCCCCACCGGGGCCGGTTCTGGGTGGGGAAATCCACGGCAGCCGCCTTCTGGCAAGCCCACACGTGGGAAACCCGCCCCCACCCGCTTCTCGCGTCTTCAGAACCCAGACCCGGAGCCCGCGGGCTCCTCCTTGCAGACCCTCGCGGCGTGGGGGGGGGATCCGCAGCCGCTGCTGCTTGCGAGCGGAGCCCGGACGGCCGCGCACTCCTCCGTCCGCCCGCCCGCCCCGTTCTGTTGATCCGGAGCCGGGAAAACAGGTGTGTCTGCTCCGGCTCTGGGAGGCTGGCCCCGGGTCCTAGCGCACGCCCGGCTTTTTGGAGCTCCAGCGCCTCCCTGCTTCCAGTGGCGGGGAGTCCCTCGGTCCCGCTGCTCCCGGATCAGGCGTCAGGGGTTTGCCAAGCGGGCTGAGGTTTCACCGGTTGGATTTCGGATTAATTCGAGACCCTTATGGGCGCTGGACGTGAGTCTGCAAAAAAGAACGAAAGAAAGAAAGAAAGAAAGAAAGAAAGAAAGAAAGAAAGAAAGAAAGAAAGAAAGAAAGAAAGAAAGAGAAGAAAGAAAAGAAAGAAAAAGAGGGAGATAGAAAGGAAAGCAAGAAAAGGAGAGGGAGAGGGAAAGGGGAGGGAGAAAGAAAGAAGAAAGAAAGAAAGAAGAAAGAAAGAAAGAAAGAAAAGAAAGAAAGAAAGAAAGAAAAAGAAAGAAAGAAAAAAGAGGAGAGAGATAGAGAAAAAGGAAAGAAAGAAAAAGAGGGAGATAGAAAAGAAAGCAAGAAAAAGGGAGAGGGAGAGGGAGAAAGAAAGAAAGAAAGAAAGAAATCCCAACAAGGGATTTCAGAATGAGCCTGGAAAGACCTTTTTCCCCCTCTGCCCCAGATTAAAAATTCCCCTGCTTATTAATTAGCAATAGCGCTTAGATTTATATAAATGCTTTCCAGCCCTCTCTCAACGGTTGACAGAGACAGCATATTGCCCCACCACCCCCAAGAAAAATCTGGGTCAATATCAGCATCATTGGACAGAGGCCATCCTCCAGGCTAAATCTGTAGATTTAGGGGGGGTGATGCTTGGGGGCTTGCATTCAAATCCAGGGGTTTTAAAGCAGCGGTGAAATCCAATTTTTTTTTACTATCAGTTCTGTGGGCGTGGTTGGTGGGCATGGCAGGATACTGCGAAATCTCCATTCCCTCCCCACTCCAGGGGAAGGATACTGCAAAATCTCCATTCCCTCCCCACTCCAGGGGAAGGATAGTAGAGCCTGATAGTACAGCGGACTAAAGCACTGTTATTAACATCTGCTGCTTGCAATTACTGCAAGTTCAAATCCCACCAGGCTCAAGGTTGACTCAGCCTTCCATCCTTTCTAAGGTAGGTAAAATGAGGACCCGGATTGTGGGGGCAATAAACTGACTTTGTATAAATATACAAAAGTATGAAGGCTATTGCTTAACGCATTGTAAGCCGCCCTGAGTCTCCGGAGAAGGGTGGCATATAAATTAAAGCAAAAAAAAAAAAAGGATACTGCAAAATCCCCATTCCCTCCCCACTCCAGGGGAAGGATTCTGCAAAATCCCCATTCTCCACCCCGCTCTGGGGCCAGCCAGAGGTGGTATTTGCCGGTTCTCCGAAATACTCAAAATTTCCACTGCCAGTTCTCCAGAACCTGTCAGAACCTGCTGGATTTCACCCCTGTTTTAAAGGCTTTGCTTTATGTTTTCCTTGCCTGCGTTGATGCAACAGCAACTCGGAGTCTGCTAGCATGGAAACGCACAGGCAATTAAACAAGAGCATATGTACATAACAGAAGAGATTGGCAACAGATTTGTCGACAAACATCACGTTTATCTCAGGAGGGCCCAGTTAACCTTTAGGTATCCTCTGGAGTCCAAATTCCCAGAAGTATTTGGGATAAGGAGTTCCACGCAAGCCATTGGCACCTTCCCGATATTTCCTATCTTTGAATCTCGGATACACTTCTCGCTAATCGTGCGACAAATCGCACAAATCGAAGAGAGGCAGCAAAAGCACGAGGCGGTGAGGGGGCGAATTCAAAAACCAGAGGGTTAGGGTGGCCATAATATTTTCCGCCGTCCATAAGGATGCGAAACTGAAACTCTTGCCAATTTGTTTGTTTATTCTCCACCAGCCAAAGACAGTTCGACAGAAGCGGCCTCCGTCTCGTCATAGGGCAACAAATCTACTTCCTTATGACAAGTTGTGATGATTAAACCGCCTAATCAGAATCTTTTCCATCTCGTCCCAGCCGGTTTTCCAGAGTGAATCAACCTGTTCCAGAAAATCCGATAAAGAAGCTTGGGAGCAGGCTGTCGCGATTTGACCGAAGTCCAGATTGTGAGGAGTGTGGAGGACTTTTTAATGCAGCGTACGATCGGGTGCAAATAAAGCCATATTAAATATCTCATCCCTAAAGTTGCACGCACCTATAATGTTGTGCTAAGGTGAAATTCCTCTGCTTATGTCTTATATCTTATTTATTTGGCCAAGTGTGGTTACACCAGGAGTCAGCAACCTGCGGCTCTGGAGCCGCATGTGGCTCTTTCACCCCTCTGCTGTGGCTCCCTGTCACTCAGAATATGCATCACAACTGCCAATGTGTGACACCCCGCCGGCATGCAATTTACCGAGCTTTTCAACCCCCGGTAGGCCAACCATGGATAAATCCAAGAAAAGAAAAGATTCCGAAGAAAACAGAACTTTTAATTCAACTACATATGCTAGTTTTGTGGCCGCTCAAGAAATAGTCAGGCACGGGAAGGGTTTTTGTGGCTCCCGGTGTTTTTTTTTTCTGTGGGAAAGAGTCCCAATGGCTCTTTGAGTGTTTAAGGTTGCAGACCTCTGGGTTAGAAGCACAAGGAATTTGTCTCAGAAGCACTGTGTCCTTGCAAAACAACAGAAAATAATAATACTGAAAATACTGACAACAACAACAATAATGGGACTTCGGAATTCAGGCAGACAGGCACCTGCCACATAACACCCTGGACTTAACAGTTGTCGATAAGAAAGACAAAAAAAGTCTGGGTAGTGGATATGGCAGTGCAGGGAGACAGCAGATAGAAGAGGAAAGAACTGGAGAAGATAACAAAATACAAAAATCTACAAATAGAAATAGAACGACTATGGTAAAGGCAAGCAAGGATAGTACCAATAGTAATAGGTGCCTTGGGTGCGATCCCAAAACAACCGGAGCACCACCTGAACACCATCGGCATTGACAAATTTGCCATCAGTCAATTGCAGAAGGCAGCTTCGCTGGGAACAGCTTCCATCCTGCGACGATAATCCGTAACACTGTCAAACATTCAGATCTGCCTATCCCAGATACTTGGTAAGGACTCGATAGGTAGACAAAAAATGCCAAACCCAGTCTGGCTGTGTAAATAATAATAATAACAACAACAACAGCCAATAAAGGGGTGAAGTAAAAAATAATAAAAGGGATAAATAGCACTGCAGCCTCACCCTATGAGTTAATATACATGCACATTAGACAAAAAACTGAAGTCACTGCATTGTGTCAGCTGTGAAAATTAAGCGTTCAGCAGAGTAGGGGCACAGGGGGAAAAAACTATCCCTGTGTTTAGTTGATTTATAGCACCTTATTGCACCATCGCAAAGAGAAGGAGTTAAAACAAATCATTTTAAAATATTCAAAGCTAGCGCCTGTCTGAAAAACACAGGCGAAGAATAAGATTAGTCTGGAATTCTGAAATAAGACGAGATCTGTTTTTGCGTGCGTGCGTGCGTGTGTCCGCGCACACGCATGTACGCGTGTACGATAGGTCGGGCTGGGCCTGCAAAGTCGAGACATGAGAATGGACTCGGTACAAACGAAACAAGGAAGCCGACAATCCAGGTGATTTGGAATCAGGCCAAGAAGGGAGACAATCCCACATGAGAATTTGAGATCTTCCTTTTGGAAAAGCCGGAGAATAGTTAACGTGCCTAGGAAAAAGAGACGGATGAAGATGGGGTAGAATCAGTGGTGAAATTCAATTTTTTTTACTACCGGTTCTGTGAGCGTGGCTTAGTGGGCGTGGTGTGGCTTGGTGGGTGTGGCAGGGGAAGGATATTGCAAAATCCCCATTCCCACCCCACTCTGGGTCCAGCCAGAGGTGGTATTTGCCAGTTCTCTGAACTAATCAAAATTTCCGCTACCGGTTCTCCAGAACCTGCTGAATTTCACGCCTGCGTAGAATGGATGGTATAGAGCAGGGGTGTCGAACTCAAGGCCACATCCGGCCCTTGAGGTGTTTCCAGAGGCCACCCAAAGGATCGGTCTGGGGTGCCTCTGCCAGCAAAAATGGAGCTCAGAAGGACTCTGCGTGCTCGCTCGCTCGCACGCACACACACAGAAGCTCCGTTTTCGCTGGCCGAGGGCTAGCAAAAGAAACTAAAAACGAAACAAAAGGAGAAATGTTTCCCCTTTGGCATTTGCGCATGGAAGAAGGGACAGGAAAGGAGAAAGAGGAAAGAGGAAGGACGAAGAAAAAGAAGGGAAGATGGGAAGAGAGCAAGGAAGGAAAAAGAAGGAAAGAGGGGAAGGAAAAGGGAAGGAAAATGAAAAGGGAAGGAAAAAGAAGAGAAGGAAGGAAGGAAGGAAGAAGGAAGGAAGGAAGGAAGGAAGAAGGAAGGAAGAAGGAAGGAAGGAAGGAAGGAAGGAAGGAAGGAAGGAGATTATAATGAGAGTGAGGGAGGATGTGAGGGACCTCCTGCCTTAGCTCTTAGCCACGATAGGTCCCCCCCCCCCCCCCCCCCGGAGCGCCATCAAGCCACCCCCCCCCCCCCCGCCCCTCCCACCCCCCCCCCCCCCAAAGTCAAACACAACCCTAATGTGGCCCTCAATGAAATTGAGTTTTGACACCCCTGGTACAGAGCAAGATTGGGCAACTAGCAAGTTTCTTGATCCCAAACCAGCCTCCTAGATTAACATCCAGCATTTGGGGCATTGCACATTTGAACACAGAAAGGTGTGCCCTGAACATAACACGTGGGTGTTACTCCTTCTTTTGGTGCCTGGTTGGAGTTTGGCTAGGACCATGAAGAAAGCTGTGCTCTGGGGTGGGGAAAAACAGTTGCCCGTGAAACATGCAGAGAGACACGTCACAATTCTCCATTCCAAATATAGCCATGAACTGAAGACAGCTGGGTGCCCTGGAGCCTGCTGAGCACTGGGGGAGCTTTGCAAATCGGTTTCAAGCCTGCCTGCAACCGTTGGACTAAGTAAATAAGTGAATAAATGAATAAGTAGAGCCACTTCGGTTTAGTGGTTGAGGCATTTGGGCTAGAAACAAGGAGACTGGGATTCTTGTCCTGCCTTAGCTCTAAAAGCCGGCTGGGCGACTTTGAGTCAATCACTCGGAAACGATGAGTTCTAATCCTGCTTTAGGCATGAAAGCCGGCTGGGTGACTTTGGCACAATCACCAGGAGAACTGTGAGTTCCAGTCCTAATTAGGCATGAAAGCTACATGGCTGATTTTGGGCCAATCACCAGGAGACTGTGAGTTCTAGTTCTGCCTTAGGCATGAAAGTTACCTGGCTGATTTTGGGCCAATCACCAGGAGACTGTGAGTCCTAGTCCTGCCTTAGGCATGAAAGCCGGCTGGGTGACTTTGGCACAATCACCAGGAGACTGTGAGTTCCAGTCCTACCTTAGGCATGAAAGCTACCTGGCTGATTTTGGGCCAATCACCAGGAGACGGTGAGTTCTAGTTCTGCCTTAGGCATGAAAGCTACCTGGCTGATTTTGGGCCAATCACCAGGAGACTGTGAGTTCTAGTTCTGCCTTAGGCATGAAAGCCGGCTGGGTGACTTGGCACAATCACCAGGAGACAGTGAGTTCCAGTCCTATCTTAGGCATGAAAGCTACCTGGCTGACTTTGGGCCAATCACCAGGAGACTGTGAGTTCTAGTCCTGCCTTAGGTTTGAAAACTGCCTGTGTGACTTTGGCACAATCACCAGCAGACAGTGAGTCTCAGTCCTATTTTAGGCATGAAAGCTACTTGGCTGACTTTGGGCCAATCACCAGGAGACTGTGAGTTCTAGTCTTGCCTTAAGCTTGAAAACTGGCTGGGTGACTTTGGCACAATCACCAGGAGACTGTGAGTTCCAGTACTACCTTAGGCATGAAAGCTGGCTGGGTGACAAATGGAGTTGCTGCTTATTAAAACAATTCAAAAGAGATTATAATCATGGAGGAAAAATGAAAAGGAGACCAAACGCAGGGGGGAGGGGAAATCATAATTATAGACTGCATCTCTCAAGCTTCTTTTGATCGTTGTCTGAGCTCTTGAGTGCTATAATAGCTGGCTGGAGAATTCTGAACGTTGAAATCCAGATGTCTTAAAAGTTCTCAAGGATGAGAAATAATGATTTTAGATACTTTGGCTGGGCTCCTTGACTGCAGTCCCAAATTGGTAATTTTAAAGGTAAATTAAAGGAGGGAAATTCATCGAATTCGTATCAAGAATGCAAATTTATCTAACGCTGCACGTTTCAATTAACAGCTTCCGCAAAGCTTAAACTTCACCTGAAATGTGCCCTCTCCAACTTTTGCGATGCAGCTCACACTTCATATTTCCCTGCATTTGGTCTCTTTCATTTTTCCTTCCACGGTTACGATCTCTTTTGAATTGTTTTTTTTCTAAGCAGTAACCCCTTTGGATCTGCAAAAGGGGCATTTTGGGTGTCGGGCCAAGAAAATTTGGCTGGTTACTGTTGATCAAACAGTTGAGGGAGCCAGGCTGCTGTGTTTTCAAAATAGCAACCCCGTGACTGGGCGGACAGGGGAGGGGGGGGTGAGTCAAAAATGAAACCTCTTCCTTGGGAGAGAAAAAAGATGATTTCAAAGCACCGTAATAGCTTCGCAGAGCAGAACCCAGCCAATAAAGTGACTGGGGCATTGCATCACCTCTCCTTCAATTGCACTCACACCTGTGCTGACAGAAACCAAGATATCCGGATTATCGAAAAGGCCAAGCTAACGATTAACTCAACCAGAAGATCCTGCCTGCAGATTTCTCCTTTCAATACCGGTTTTCCCAATTAGCTGCTTTTCCTTCTTCAGCAACAGGCAGGGCTGGGTTTGCAAGGAAAGGAAAACCAGCAATTCCTCTTCAATCAAACACATTTCGATTTAAAAAAAAAAAAAGGCATAAGCCACCATGAGTTGCAGCTCACCTCATCCCAGGGGTAAAATCCAGCAGGTTCTGACAGGTTTTGGAGAACCGGTAGGGGAAATTTTGAGTAGTTCGGAGAACCGGCAAATACCACCTCTGGCTGGCCCCAGAGTGGGGTGGGAATGGAGATTTTGCAATATCCTTCCCCTGGAGTGGGGAGGGATTGGGGATTTTGCAGTATCCTTCCCCTGGAGTGGGGAGGGATTGGGGATTTTGCAGTATCCTTCCCCTGGAGTGGGGAGGGAATGGAGATTTTGCAGTATCTTTCCCCTGCCACGCCCACCAACCCACGTCCACAGAACCGGTCGTAAAAACATTTAGATTTCACCACTGCCTCATCCGATGCAAAAGGGATGCAGGATTTAAACTAGGATGAAGCAGAAGAAGGAGAAGCTTAGCCCTTGAATAACATGAATTCTTCTGGGGGAAAAAAAATATATTCTCAGATGCTTCCTAGATTTATTTTTTTCTTTTAAACTCTCCTGATGAACGGAGCTCTTCGCCTGCAGTGTCTTTTGAGCTTAAATGCAATTTATTTCCTCAACTGAAGCAGACCGTTATCTTAAATGGCCAGATCTGACCGGTTTGAAGAGTGGAAGACAAGCAGCTGAGACAAACAGCACTTTCAAAGAGATAACATTTCAGTCTAGAACAAATGCAGAACTAGTTACATATTCAGCGTGATGGGAAACCTTCATCTGTGGAACATCGATTTCTTATCGCTGCTGTTTTCAGTGGATTTTTTTTTTAAATAAACAAAGTCCGGCAAAGGTTGGCAACCAGCCCAGAAAACAAGATACGATAAGACACTCACTCTCCAAAATGCTCTGTAATAATTACACGTTGTTTCCAGCAAGAAATTACTAACTGCGTGTGACTTAAATAGGCTAAGGGAGTGGCCAATTATCCTCCAACCTTACTCTCGAAGAGACTTCCTCCTCCTCCTGAGTAGCCACTCCTGCCTTTTGGCAGCCCTGTGTGCTCGAGCATTGAGGAGAGGCTCCTCCACTTCGCTCTCTCCACTTGAAGGAGCCTCTGGAAGTTCTGAAGGCCCTGGCTGAGTCCCTGTCTCTGGCACCACATCCTCTTCAGCCTCCTCGCTGTCTGACGCGAGCGCCGGCTGTGCCGGCTGCTGGCGTGACACCACACCAGCCTCCTCGTCGTCAGGATCAGCCACGATCCGCGCAGGCCGCTGGCGGGCCACAACACTTCTGGACCCACCAGAAGTCAGGAAACACACTGTTTCTGGCCTCCAGAGGGCCTCTGAGGGGTGGGGAAGGCTGTTTTTGCCCTCCCCAGGCTCCTAGAAAGGCTCTAGAGCCTGGGGAGGGCAAAAAATGGGCCTACCGGGCCCACCGTGCCATCGCGTGCCAAAAGTGGGGGAGCACGGGGGGCAGGGCGCATAGAATTATGGATGTGGGCACACGTGCGTGTGACCCCACCACGCTCCCCTGCTTTTGGCACACGACGGCAAAAAGGTTAGCCATCACTGACCTAGGTAACACCCTGAGTGCTCGTTAATAGTATTAGGTAATGAAATGTGAGATAAATGAAATATCTGCACGAAAACAACCAACACAGCCAGCACCCAGGACTTCATGGTTGAACCCTGAGCTACAGATACAGTATTTCCTTCTATTTAACATGTGCATTGTTAGAAGGTTCCTTTGAGTCAGTTTTTGATGCCTGGACGAATCCCTGCAGTTTTCTTGGCAAGGAGTGGTTTGCCATTGCCTTTTAAAAGCATTTTTTCTACAACCTCTTCAGCCGAAAAAATGCTTTTAAACGTAAAAGAATAGCCTCTGATGATCGCGCGGCTCAGCTGGGATCGTCAGAGGCTTTTAAAAGCATTTTTTTCTACAACCTCTTCGGCCGAAAAAAATGCTTTTAAAAGTTAAAAAAAAAAAACCTCTGATGATCGCGCGGCTCAGCTGGGATCATCAGAGGCTTTTAAAAGCATTTTTTCTACAACCTCTTCGGCCAAAAAAAATGCTTTTAAAAGTTTTTTAAAAAAGCCTCTGATGATCGCGCGGCTCAGCTGGGATCGTCAGAGGCTTTTAAAAGCATTTTTTCTACAACCTCTTCGGCCGAAGAGGTTGTCGAAAAAAAATGCTTTAAAAGAAAAAAAAAAAAAGTTGGCCACGCCCACCCAGTCCCATTACCCCACCACCACCAAGCCACGCCCACAGAACCTTTCTCTCTTGGGAAGGGATGTACCTTTCAGGTGATCTGATAGAAGTCTTCTCTCTCGTTTTTGAATTTGCTGAGAACCTGGGACAGGAGCTGGTGATGGGAACGTTTCTCACCCTCCACTTGTCTTCTTTCCAGTCGGAAGTGAGGAGGAAAACCGCAAACTAACGTTGGAGGGAGAGGTGAAGTTTTGAGTAGGGATTGTGGCCTGCAGATTGCAAGGTGATTCTTCAGAATCCTCCCTGCCTTCCATAAATGGCTTTTTATTTTCCCCTTTCTCAAAGAGAATCTGTAGAATTTCTCATCTGGGCTTGGGAACAGGCAGCTTCTATTGTCAAGCAGCGGAATAAATTCTACTACAAAGAGCCTCTCCAGGCAACAGTTTCTATGGAAACCCGGAACTTGTCCTGCATCACCAAAAAGCAAGGAGGAAAGACCGAAGAGAAGGTCTCCAAAGGCCTCGGATCGAATCTGTCGCTGAAGGAATTCACAATACGTTTGACAATGGATCTCAGGACCCCAGAGGCTTTAGAGAGCCTGTGATGAAAGAGACAAGACGCAGAAACAGAATCTGGGCAAGAAGGACCATGTCATAGCCCAGCAACCATCCTTCTCAAGATAGTCCATGCCTTGTTATTCTTTTTAATATCTGTGTGTGTGTTGAGCCTATTATAATAACCAGGTGTCGGCTGCTGGGGGTTCGCAGGGGTTCGGGAGAACCTCTAGCTAAGATTCTGTGCAGTTCAGAGAACCCCCAAATCCCACTCCTGGCTGGCCCCGCCCCTCCCAGGAGTCCCTACGCTGCCCGTTTTCAATGCAGGTAAGTGCAGGGCGTGCACGGAGGCTCAGGGAAGGAGAAAAACGGACCAACTGGAAATTTGGGAAGGCTGGAAACAGGCCCGTTTCTGGCCTCCAGAGGGCCTCCAGAGCCTGGGGAGGCCATTTTCGCCCTCCCGGATGATCGAGGAAAACCTCCAGAGCCTAGGGACGGCAAAAACGCCCCGCCCGCCATGGTGCAGGAGGATGACTAGGCCACGCCCACCATGGCCACGCCTACCCAGCAACCGGGCAGAGAACCCCTTGCTAAAATTTTTGAAGCCCACCTCTGACAATAACACTTCACTGATCTCCAAGTTAATTTTGTTGAGCAGCTGCGAATTCCATTTTATTCCAGTATGAAACTTTTTTTAAAAAAAAAATCCTGATTAAGAATCTCTCTCTCTCTTTCTCTTTCTCTTTCTCTCTTTCTCTTTCTCTCTCTCTCACTCTCTTTCTCTCTCTTTCTTTCTTTCTCTCTCTTTCTCTCTCTCTCTCTCTCTCTCTCTCTCCTTTAATATAGAAAGTTGAAGCATTGTAAACTATTAAGGGGGAGGGAAGAGAAGAAGCTGTATTACCACTTGCATCCTTCTAATTTTTAAAATTTTTATATACTGTTTTTCTATTTTAATATTGTCTGGTATACCAGCCAGAGTCCCTCTCTGAAGGAAATAGACTGTTCAAAAATGTCCAAAAAAAAAATTAAACAAAACAACAGAGGGCATCAGTGGAGCGATCAGCTTGGCTTACAAAAATCCAGATGTCCGCTAGATGGCAGCCCAGCAATACAGACAACTGGACTGAATGGGGATTTGGGTCTAATGTTGCTGGATTCGGATTGCATTTTAAATTGGAAGCGAGAGTGCCAGCATTTGTGGGATTTTCCCCAAACTTTATTGCTCCTGGAGGGGATTACAACCGGGTACTTATGGAAACACGCTAACAAGCTAGCATGCTCCTCTGGAAAAAAAGTCAGAGCCTGATGCAAACCCAGCCTGTAAGCCTAAATAAGGGTTGCAAGCAAAGAGGTTTTACTAATCATCTTAAGAGCATCTTAAATTTATGGATAGACTTGAGCTCAGCCAAGTGGAATAAAGTCCATGTAGGGCCTTGATGCCTGATGGAAGGAAAGGCAGCCCAATCTCTGGCATGAAAGCAAGATCCTTTGCAATTCTCACAATCCTTTACCAGTGGCTCGTAGCTCTCTGATTTGGGAATTAAAGGCAGCCCCCTTGCTTGCCACTCCTTAACCTGTTAACTTTTAAAACAAGAAACAAGATAAATCTTGGGCAATGCATATTTAAGGGTAAGGTTTTGCCTTTGCAAAAAGACCGATTCCAGCTTGGTTTTTTTTTTTTTTTTTATGTTTCTGAACAAAATGCTGGTGGTTTCCCCAATTTTTTCCTGAATAATTCTGAAATAGAATTCATGGAGCTGCTAAGATGTCTGACTAGAACTCATTTAATTTATTTCCACCTGGATTTTTTGACAATATAGATTTCGATTAACTGAGTTGGAAGGGACCTTGGAGGTTGTCTAGTCCAGCCCTCTACCCAAGCAGGAGACCCTACACCATTCCTGACAGATGTCAGTCCAGTCTCTTCTTGAAAGCTTCCAGAGATGAAGCTCCCACAACTTCCGGAGTGTTATGGAATGATGGGACCAAACAACATTCCTGGGTCAGCCAGAGACAGTTTTATTTGCGCAGTTTCAGAACCAGATTTGTATCTGCCATTCTGAACAAGGAAAGAGCCCTGATATGACTGCTTTTATACATATCCAAGACAAAGGACTTTGCTGGCACAGCAGTTTTCCATATATGGTTAACATACATCCGTTACATGATAATTGACACTTTTTAATTAATAAATTCCTACATTAATTTATAGTACATGAGATAATTGTAGCTAAACATCCTCCTCTTCTGTAATCACTGATGCATAGATCCATGGCTGTCCTTGGATTAATAAGTAACTTTTTGTTTCAGATGGATGTCTCTGCATCCTTGACAGATATCTTCCTCGGAAGACATATATTATACATGGTCCTTGCATCTTTGACAGATAGGCCCCTCAAACGATATATGTTTGCCAAGAATGGAATTTCGCTGACAGTGTAGTCTTTGAATAAGCACATTTCTTTCTTTATAATAATGTGAATAAAGAGGGTACTCCAGTGTTCATATAGCTGATCTTATACCATTCACATTATTATTTTATTCACATTATCCACTTTAGGAGGAAACCTCTGTTCCATGGGTTGATTGTTCTCACTGTCAGAAAATTTCTCCTTATTTCCAGGTTGAATCTTTCCTTGGTCAGTTTCCATCCATTATTCCTTGTCTGGCCTTCGGGTGCTTTGGAAAATAGCTTGACCCCTTCCTCTCTGTGGCAGCCCCTCAAATATTGGAACACTGTGGACAGATAACCTAATCAAAGTCTAGCATGGACTATTTTATTTTATTTATTTCTATTTTATAGTTTATTTTATTTTATTTATTTTTATTTTATTATTATTTTATTATTTTATTTTACTTTACTCATAGAGAGGGGCTCCTCCGGGTGCCGTCGGCCAGACATTGTAAACTGGTAGCCCCCAGGGGGAGAGCCTTCTCTGTGGGGGCACCTACTATCTGGTATGAGCTCCCCCCGGAGATACGGAGGATCCCGGATCTGCGCACCTTCCGCCGCGCCTTAAAGACCTTTTTATTCCACCAGGCGGGCCTGGCCTAATCTTTTTCCCCTTTTTCTCTTTTAATACGTAAATTTTAATCTGTTTTTAAATGATTGGGGTGTTTTAAATCTGTCTGGGCCAAATTTGTTTAATTCGGTTTTATTCTGTTTTGTAAATTTTGTATTTATGTATTTTACTGTTTGGCTGTTCACCGCCCTGAGTCCTTCGGGAGTAGGGCGGTATATAAATCAAATAAAGACTAAAGACTAAAAGACTACTTTACTTTATTTTATTATTTATATTTTACTATTTATTTTTTACAGTTGTAAACCGCCCACCTTCCTGAAAGAGGGACTAGTCCCCCTTTATTTATTTATTTATTTATTTGTTTGTTTGTTTGTTTGTTCGATTTATATGCCACCCTTCTCCGGAGACTCAGGGCAGCTTACAATGCGTTAAGCCTTGTATGGCCCTAAAGAGCATATCTATACAACTGCTATGCGCTTTCCTTTCCTATCTTCCTCCCCACCCCCAACACTAAATATTGTGTATTGTGGCAGGAAGCACAAGGTAGGTATCCCTTCCAATATGCTTGAATGAACAGATCTATAATAAACAGCTGCAAATTGCAAAACCGCACACTATAAGATAAAGCTGTAAGATAAAGCTTCTGAACCACAAAACAGTAAAGATTAGCCTCGTTTTGCAAGATTTATTTAAGTAGAAACTCTCTGTTTTCCTTCAGGGATAGGAAGATGAGAAATAAACATCAGAGATGGCCGTTTTTACAGTGCGTTTGAAATAAGATAACCTAAGTTAAGTTTTGGTAAACTATATTCAAACATCGTTTAACTTAGCTCTTCCTTCCTCGTTCTCTCATTTCCTCTTAATTTTAAGTTGCAGTAGAAACTCTGTGAGGTAGAAACTATGCATATACTGCATCACAATATACTGCTAACAATAAATAATGTCATTTGGAGACTCTATAAGAAACCATCTCATTTTGAAGGCTTCCTATTTTACTTTTCTCTTGAGAAAGGAATCCTCTTCCCGTCTCTTTAAACCTACCAATCAAAATATCTGTGATCACCCCTTCATCTGATTGTTCCATTTTTGAGGTGTTACGCTTTCCCCTTACAATTGTCACTCTAAATGTATATCCCATCTGTTGTGTGATTCTCTCCCCGTCGGTTGTTATGTTATTTTTATATAGCAGTGTTGTATTTTCACGTGGTTTTTACTGGTTTCAGTGCGTTTTAACTAACAGCAATGCCGATTGCGTGGGGCGCAGAAAACCATTATTGGACTGGACTATAAAAATGTCATGCACAACTGTAAAGGCACAGCTCTCAAATGCTTGGAAGAATATGTTGGTTTGGCTAAAGAGCAGGCAAAATCCTAAGAAAAAGTTATATGCTCTGTGATGGGATGTAGGCAGGGGTGAAATCCAGCAGGTTCTGACAGGTTCTGGAGAACCGGTAGTGGACATTTTGAGCAGTTCAGGGAACCGGTAGCGGAAATTTTGAGTAGTTCGGAGAACTGGCAAATACCACCTCTGGCTGGCCCCAAAGTGGGGTGGGAATGGGGATTTTGCAGTAGCCTTCCCCTGCCATGCCCACCAAGCCACGCCTACCAAGCCACTCCACACCCACCAAGCCACGCCCACAGAACCGGTAGTAAAAAAAATTGGATTTTTTTGGGATGCAGGAGAATTATCCTTTACAAGATAAGGGATGGTATTTTCAGGTAAAAAATTAGGCTTCGTTTGATTTTTTAAAAAAAGCTTTAAAATGATTGCTATTATTTCAATCAACCTCGCTAACTGGAATGTTCTTAATTTTGAGAAGGTCTCTGTATGTCTTCCCCATCTTGATCTGACCGTGGCATTCTAGTTTATCTGCCCGGAAAGAAGAACGGTTGCCAAGACAATCAAAACAAAACCTTGGCT